GGGAGGGGGGGAAGGCGGCAAGGCTGACAATGTTGTCAGCCAAACAAGCAGAGGCGAAGCTGCGCATGACGATCCATCAAGGTGGAAGGAGCTGCCGACTTTGCGGGTCTGACATGATGTGCAGGTCAGGGAGGCAGCTGGAAGAGGAGGGGCAGCAGAACAGCTGGAGGAGAGGAGAGTGGGGAGAAGGAAGAGGAGACTAGTCTCCCTCCCATCCCCCTCGCGAGGCTCTCAAGGCCTCCTTCAGACCCCCAGCAGCAGCAGGGACCTTCCGCCAACTCTCCTCTGGTTATCTCCTGCTCCTGCTCCTGCTCCTGCTCCTGCTCCTGCTCCTCCTCCTGCTCCTACTCCTACTCCTGCTCCTGCTCCTGCTCCTGCTCCTGTTCCTCAACTTACACTCACTTTCAGATTCCTCTCACTCCAAGCTCGATGTCGGCGGAGGCTCGTCTTGAGAGCATGAGCATGGCTGAAGAAATCGCAAGGAGCACGTTGGAGAAGGAAGGCGAGGGGGAGGATGAAGAAGCTGGGAAGGAGGAAGGAGCCGCAGGAGGAGAGGAGGATGAAGCTCGGAAGGAGGGAGGAGGAGAAGAAGGAGCCGCAGGAGGAGAAGAAGAAGCTCGGAGGGAGGGAGGAGGAGGAGAAGGAGCCGCAGGAGGAGGACGGCAGCGACCACTCGAGGAAGAGGGGGGGGAGGATGCGACAAGCTCTTCAGTCGAACCATTGGTGCACGAGGACGAGAGGACGGCGATGGAGCAGCAGAAAACGAATTCCCCTCCTTTCCCTGCCCCCAGTTCGGCTCCCTCAGTGTCAGGGGACGGGGAGGAGCAAGCATACGCGTCTGAGCAAGGAGCTGATGACGATGATGATGATAAGGAGGAGGAAGAGATTGTGGCGGAGGAGAAACAGCAGCAGCAGCAGCAGCAGCAGCAGCAGGTGCAGGTGCACAGGCAGAAAGCTGAAGAGGAGGAGGAGGAGGAGCACAGTGAGGAGTACGAGGACAAGCCGATCGGCTCAGGTCTTGTGCCGAAAATCCTGACGGTCCCACAGAAGAAGGAGGAGACTTCTGCGCAGCTTCAGAGGGAGGAGGAGGAGGAGGAGGAGGAGGTTGTCGACAGACCGTCCCTGAAGGACCAGGAGGGGATCAGGGCCTGGAAGGTGGAGGAGGAGGAGAAATTCAGCTCTGAACCCTCGTTGCTCGAAGATGCTCGATGCTCGCACAGGGGCAGGGAGGGAGGGGAGGAGGAGGAGAACGGGTGTCTGGGCAGAGGACAGGAGGGCGACAAGATTCCGGTGGATGCTCGTCTCGTCTACCTTACCTCCTCCCTCCAGTTCCGGTCTGAGTTCAGAGTCGGGACTGGAATGAGCAAATTTCCACCCTCCTCCTCCATCCCAGGACTCTCCGGCACCCCCGCCTCCTCCTCCTCCACAGCCTTCGGAGGAGGAGAAGAAGCGATGTCTATCTCCTCGGTCTTCGACGACGACGGGCTACAACCCTCCTTCCTCCAGGCCTCCCTCTCCCTCGCCAAGACTCCTCCTCCTCCTCAGCTCGATGCTGAGCGATGCGAGACTTGCATGTTGGTCGTCAAGACGGCTCCCAACCCCCTCCCCGACTTCCACCAGCCTGTCGAGCTTGCGAGTCAGCAGGAGGAGCGAGCGGGAGGCGGGGAGGGAGGAGGAGGAGCTGAGCTGCCGCTGCGGAAGGGGAAGGGCAAGAGCGACAAGAGGAGGGAGGATGGAGTGGAGATGATCTGGACGCCGGTGGTGCAGAGCGGAGGAGGGGAGGAGGAGACGCCGATGAAAGTGCTGGAGCTACAGAAGGTGCTGGGGCTGCCTGCGTCGCTGTGGTCGGTGGAGGCGGAGAGGTCAGTGAAGTTGAAGCAGCAGGAGGAGGGGCAGGAGAGGAAGAGCCGAGAGCTCCGCCTGTGCGAGGAGAGGGAGGGGAGGAAGGGGCAGGCGGCTGGTCAGATCGATTCAGCGAGCACGCCACATGCTCTTCCTGCTGATCTCAAGGGACAGGCAGAAACTTTCTTCAAGTCCCCCGGGGCTGACGCCTCCTCCTCGCTCCTCCGCGTCAAGGATGCCTCCGTCGCCTCCGTCGTGCGCGACGCGGAGTGGGCCCTAGAGGAGTTTGTTCGAAGGGAGGAGGTGTACGTGAACGGGAAGCTCGAGACGGAGCAGGAGGAGGAGAGCAGCAGGGGACGAGCACGGGATCAGGTGGCAACAGGCAAGGGAGTGGAAGAGGCTGATGGAGGGAAGAGGGAGGAGGGAGGAGGAGGAGAGGAGGAGGAGGTGATGGAGATTAAGTTCGATCGCGCGTTCGCCAACGACGAGGAGCGTCTGGAGTTTGCAAAGCAGCAGAGGAACAAGCTGGCGAAGCTGCTGGGGGTGACGCCCGAGAGCATCGAGATTCTCGAGGTCAAGCCCGGCTCCCCGGTCACCATGATCCGCTTCCAGATCTCCCGACAAGACGCCAGCAGGTTGTCTCCCTCCTCCCCACCTCCGGACGAGGCCCCAGCTCACAGCCCAGCTGAAGGAGGAGCTGCTGAGAGCTTCGACGCTGCTCCTCTCGGGGTTGAGATGCTCTCAGCTGGAGACAGTGACAGCCACTCGCTCCTCACCGCGAAGCTCCAGGCCTCCCTTCCTCCCCAGGTCGCCTTCACTGATCGCGCCATGCAGCGACGGCCTGTCCCGTCCGCCCCCGCGGAGGTGATGGCGGGAGGAGGGAGGAGGGAGACGGGGGGGCAGGAGGCGCCGGAGCGGAAGCTCACCGTGATCAAGAGCAAGGGATCGCACGACCAGGGGCAGCCGAACCCCTGGGACCTCAGCCCCGAGCAGGTTGAGACCGGGGAGGAAGAGAGGATGGCGGGGAGGGGAAGGAAGATGGAGAATGTGGAGGAGGCTGAAGAAGCAGAGGGGGACAGAAGGAAGAAGGCTGTTGAGGAGGAGGAGGAGAGTCAGAAGGAAAGGGGAGGAGGAAGGGGGGCGGCGGCGGGGCGGGGCGGGGGGGGGGGGGCGGAGGAGGAGAAGTAATTCTGATGACAGATGACGTCACGGCCGGGAGAGGAGGAGGCAACAGACAAGCCAAACTTCAAGGGGAAGGGAGACAGCGTGCAGGCAGACGCGGAGGAGGTGGAGAGCAGGTTTCGACCTGGCCGCGAGCTCATGTCGGAGGAGCAGTTCTCCAGCGCCAAGGTACAGCGACGAGCCCCGTCCTCGCCGAGGAGGCTGAAGCAAGTGACGTCGGGGCTGGGGGACGTCAGCGAGCAGAAGAAGGTTGCTGTCCAGGAGTGTGACGACACGGGGAGGAGGAAGGAGGTGGAGGACGAGCTCAACTTTCTCCCTGCTCAGCGGTCAGAGCCCGGACCCAAGAGCGCGCTGCATGCCAAGAAGGCGGAGGGATTGGAGGACGAGATCCTGCTGCGGCTGGAGGAGCACGACAGCAGGGCAGAGGAGCGGGGGAAGGAGGACCCCTGCGTTGTACCGAGCATGGACCTGCACAAGGTGGTGGAGGTGTACGACTACAACATCGCGCCCAAGAGCCTCGGGGAGGAGGAGGGGAGGACGAGAATGGCGACAGAGCCTGGAGAGGAGGAGAAGGGGGACAGGAGGCAGAAGAAGAAGGGGAAGGAGGCAGTGAAACATCAGGCTCCTGCTGTCCCCGAGGCCTACATGGCCTTCGGGATGGAGGGAGAGAGCCAGCGGCTCGTCCCCTCCGTTGTCGCTCTCGAGCGACCTGATAAGCAGACGCTCAAGGAAAAGCCCAGCAGGGCAGCTGAGGAGGAGCCCGAGCTGCTCAAGGGCAGGGAGGTGCCCGACATCCTCCAGCTCAAGTTTGACGTCTCGTTCGTCGACGATCATGCGAGGATGGAGTTCGCGGAGAAGCAGGCGGCGAAGCTCGCCGAGATGCTCCAGCTGCCTCCCGAGCTCGTCAAAGTTCGCGCGGTCGTTCCTGGTTGAGGAAGAGGCGGCAAAGCGCTCCTAGCTTGATATTCTTTCCTTGTACAGTGCTGTTTATCTACTGCCCCTCCTGCCTCCTGCCTCCTGTCTCCTGTCTCCTGCCTCCTGCCTCTTCTTTCTTGCTCAGAACATCCACACTACTTCGCCCAGCAGCAGGTCAGCTACGTGCACCTGTGCCATGGGGTTCGAGCCCGGCGACCCAAGCTTGACCTCTCCCTCTACCTCCGCATCCTCCTCCTCCTCCTCCTCCTCCTGCCGGTTCAGCACAGCCAGGTCGCCTTGCTCAGCCTCTGCCGAGCTGCTGTTGACGGTACGTGCAGCAGTCTTGCTGTCCTCCACACGGCAGGCGAGAGACGCGTCCAGCTGCTGGTTCAGCTGGAGGAGCTTGTCAAACTCCACTTGGATCCTCTGCTCCATGACTTGGTGCATGTGAAGTGATCCCAGGAACTTCATCAGTCGCCGTCGCAGGGAGAAACTCTCGATGCTCGAGCTTCTTTCCTCCGGAGGGTTCCTTCCCCCCTGCCCTGCTGAAACTTCGAGCTGTCGGCACTGAGCAGCAGAGCTGTAAGAGCTGGTGGGGTCGGATGCCTCACGATCTACGTGCTCGTAGAGGCTTGCTATCACCAGCTGCTCCTCCAACTGTCAGCAAGTGACCTGCAAGGAGGAAACGCTCTCACCTCCATCTGCTTCCTCCTCCTCAGATCCTTCGTCCAGCCGTCAAGGTCAGCCCTCAGAGCTTGTAGCTCAGCCTGAAGCTCATGCATGTGGTCACTATGGGGAGCAAGTTAGGAAGCAGAGAGTCAAGCAGGACGACGCACAGGAAGAGGGAGGAGAAGCGACAATGGTGGCACTCCAACGTCTGCGACCCAACACGTTACGAAGGCAACAGAAGAAAAGCACATTACATAGCAGGACCATCCGATGAAGACGCGGGACACCGAGACTTGAAGCCAACGCCTGACGATCCTCGACGTCTTCGCCCTCGCCTCCCTCGCCTCCTCCCCTGCCTCGCCCCACCTCCTGAACGCCACCCCTGCCAGCCCCTTCTGCCACCGCAAGATCACCTCCCTTGCCCGTGCCCGACAGCTCCTGCCCTCCGCTGCCTCCGCTGCCCACCGCCCGAAGGCTCTTCCTAGCCCATACGATCGCCATCGGCCGCACAGTCGCTGGAGGCTTGTCCGTACTCGCTTGCTCTCTGCTGTCCCTTCGGCCCAGCTTGCGAACGCTACGGCTGCCTTGACCTGCAGCATGCGTTGGACTACTCGCCTGCATCGATCCCTGGCTTCCCTCTGGCTGGTCGCGTTGCTTGCCCACCTTTCTAGCGCCGTTGCTAGCTGCATGTTCAGCATACGCCTGACGATCCTCGACGTCTTCGCCCTCGCCTCCCTCGCCTCCTCCCCTGCCTCGCCCCACCTCCTGAACGCCACCCCTGCCAGCCCCTTCTGCCACCGCAAGATCACCTCCCTTGCCCGTGCCCGACAGCTCCTGCCCTCCGCTGCCTCCGCTGCCCACCGCCCGAAGGCTCTTCCTAGCCCATACGATCGCCATCGGCCGCACAGTCGCTGGAGGCTTGTCCGTACTCGCTTGCTCTCTGCTGTCCCTTCGGCCCAGCTTGCGAACGCTACGGCTGCCTTGACCTGCAGCATGCGTTGGACTACTCGCCTGCATCGATCCCTGGCTTCCCTCTGGCTGGTCGCGTTGCTTTGCCATCCATCGAATGCTGATGAAATGGTTCTAATCTGAAGTTTCCTTACAACTCGTTTCGTCGTTTTCATTTGTTTTGAGACGCGTTTCCATTGGAGGAAGGTATACTGATGACAAGCGAATGAAGATTTTAACAAGAGTTGTAGAGCCTTGCTACTGAAGCTTTCCATCTGTTCAGCGTATGCTCTCCATGCAAGAAAAGCGTTCTGAGTCAGCTGATTTGAGATTCGTTGTGTTCTGTTGTCAAGTATTTTCAGCTTGAAAGTTTCAAACATCATGGAATAAGCCTCGCGTGCAATCTCGTCTTTTGCCTCACTCAATGAGATCAATTTGCATTCCATCGTCCACTTGGAAAAGGCAAGGGCCATCTGTTGTCGGGCATTGGACCGTACAAGAAGCAGCGAAGCAGTCTCGAGCATCTTACTGACTTGCTCGTTGGGAGCTGACGGAGTCTCTACAAGCAAGGATCTTGTCAACTGCACTGAAACATATTTCTGCGCAGGAGAGTTTGGCCGATACAACATGATCTGCACCAAAGTTCCTGGTGGTCCCAGCAAGAGCGAAGAAACATTCTCGGGGGGCAGGTTTTCAATGCTCCGCCCTTCTATCTGCAGCAAAACATCATGCAAGAGGATCTTTCCTGAGAGGTCTGCTGGGCCATTTCGAGTCATCCCCGCTACTATGATGGACCCATCTGCATGCCTCCTCAGTAACAAGCCGGTACTTCCTTTCAAAGGTCGCAATGGGCTTCTGAAGGATCTTTCCGCAGAGTTGTTCAGTTGGTGCAAGTCAAAACTGGGTGTGCTTGGATTATACAGCACGTCATCAGAGCTTTGCATGTTGGAAAAATTCAATTCGGCAGTTGGAAGAACGATTGACTTTACTCTTCGATAATTCCTGCCAATCGTTTAGGTTACTTCAGAGTGGCTGAAAGTACTAGAAGGCCTGCCTGCCTGCCTGCCTGCCTGCCTGCCTGCCTGCCTGCCTGCCTGCCAATACCCTTAGCTACGCATATCGTCTACCGCAAACGAATCCGTGAAGACTCCAAGAATCTCCTCAAAAGACCCCTCGTGCTGTCCTCTGCTAAGGCCTCCCTCCTCTCTTCCTCTCCTTCTCCCTCCTCTCCCACGCCGCCCGTCGCATTCCTCCCCCATTCGTACGTCAATTTTGTACCTTCAAGCATGGGGGTAGGGGGTACGGAAGATTGCCGAGGGACCGATGTGAAGGGGTATTTCAGCAGTATAAGAGAGGGGTGATACGACTACCGGTCCCTTGATCACGTCAAGGGGTCCGACAGTTGGGGGCTATCAAGTTAAGTGAATATATCAGTTAACTTGACAGCTCTTTCGACTAGCTTGTTGTCAGGGCGTTGCTTATTCACCGTCATTGCTCGCAAGCGAAGAGGCGCGCCTTTTGGAATGGCGGCGGCGAGGTATGGCTCCATCGAGGAGGAGGAAGGAGCCGGGCCGCGTTCCTCCTCCTCCTCCTCTCCTCTTGTGTGGAGACGGCTTCCTCTAGCCACCGCTGCAGCTTCGCTTCTAGTTCTGGTTGGCTGTTTGATGACACCGTTCCATTCCGTGAAGCAAACAGTCTTGGTTGACCCGGGTTATGCTAGCTGGTTGAAGACTCTTAGCGGCCCTGTCGACTATCAGACAGGGAAGGAGTATGATGACAAGTTTGAATCCCAGAGCATGTCGCATGTTGGTATCTCACACTTGCTCCCTGGAGCTCTCCCCTCGATGAAGAAGATTGGTGATATGCAGGGAGCTGACTTTGCCGCGGATGTGACGGCAAGGATTGCCACTCCTGTCGACACGGAAGAGATCAATGAACTCCCCTTGAAGTTGCAGAAAATATCCAAACTTGTGCAGAACGAGAAGACATACGTGGACGATCTTCAGAAGATTGTCGACGCCCACAGTCTGCCCGATCCAGAATCGATCGTGGTTCACGTCGGCCAACGAGGTCCGAGAGGAGCAAGAGGTCCAAGAGGTCCGCGAGGCCCAACTGGAGATCAGGGAACCAAAGGCCCCACGGGCCCTCAGGGCCCTCAGGGTGAGCAGGGCCGACGAGGAATCCAGGGACCGCAGGGCGAACAAGGAGAAACCGGACCACCGGGTCCCAAGGGCAGGCAGGGCTTGCCAGGACTGAAGGGACCCCGAGGAACGGAGGGGATTGAGGGGCCTGAGGGCGAGGAGGGACAACCTGGACCCAACGGAGAGGTGAAGGGATAGATGGTTGTTGTAGCGTCGCTGATATGCCTGGCAGACTGGACCTCCCGGTCCCCAAGGTCCCAACGGCATGAACGGCATGCAGGGCAATCCAGGCCTTACGGGTCCTCAGGGTTTGCCCGGTGACGGCAAGCGTATCGGTGATTGTCGCTGTGATGAGTTCCTTGTCTCTGCATTGACTTGTGTTGTTCGTTAGTGTGTATGAAGATCTTTGGCGATCGCTGCTTCTCGATGGTTCAGGGCTCCACTAATTATGGTACCGCCGCCAGTAATTGCAAGAACTGGGGAGGATCAGTCGCATCAGTGCGTGACCAGAGTGAATGGAATTGGATGCTAAGCATGTTCTCCACCCAATTCTGGATTGGAATGCAGCTTGTGTCGAGCCCATCAGGGGATATTTGTAAGCAATTGATTTGCCTCCTTGTTGATAGTGCTTGTTGTTGTCTTTTCCATGGAGGTCTCTTTGTACTTCTTATGACGTCTGTGACCACCATTATTGTTTTTCGTGATGTTGTGTGAAAATTGTCGCTTCTTACCGATTGTCTCTTGTAGCCAACGACTGGAAGTTTGACGACGAGACATCGAACAAGTTCGCCAATACCCTCTGGGCACCTGGAGAGCCCAACGGATGGAGGAAGTGAGAAACAGAGACACGAAACTGGGCAACTTCGACTGAATCTTGATGTGCAGTTGCGGATACAGGTGTGAGCCGTGCGCTATTTCTACTGGGAATCGCTTGAATGACATCACATGCAGCGCGTGAGATTCTTTTCTTGATGCTTCTCTTTCTTGATTGCTTGCACCTGTCTTCCCCTACCCTCGTCTTCTTCTTCCTGTTTCCATCCTATTCTGTTCCTGCCAACTTGCTTTCCTGTTTGTCTTGTGCAATTCTACTGCTTTTGTCTTACCTGTTGCCACTCATGTGCTACAACTCCCTCTCCCTCTTTTCCACTTCATCTTCTTCTTGCCATCTTCCTGTCTCTGTGTACGATTGTCTCCCTGATGCCTTACCGCTAACAACCCTTTCACAGATCTGCTGCATACGTTTGCGTGCGACAGCTCGACGCAGCAGCCATGGCGTCGATCAAAAAGGATTGAGGGCGAGAACGAGCTTTTATCCCGCCTGCTTTCGATCTGTTAATATTCTTGTTGAAATAGACGTGTTTTTCCTGCATCCCTCCACTATCTTGTTCTGACTGACCAGTAACGATTCGCCGTTGGAACCTCAAGGAGCCAGTGACTGGAGTGACTTGTCATGCTTCATTCATCCCTGCATTACATCAGCGGCTGTAGTGGGATAGGATAGATTGCACTTTGAAACTGGACCCGCTAAAAATTTGAAATATGAAGATTAGTATTCGAATAATTAGCAACTTTTGACTTGACCGGTGAGACAACGCGACAGGTATGTAGTGCATGAGAGGTGGAGAAGAGGGGAGGGAGGGAGGAGGAGGGAGGTTTGAGGAGGGAGGAAGGGAGGAGGGAGGTTTGAGGAGGGAGGAGAGGGAGGAGAGGAAGGGAGGAGAAAGGAGGGAGAAAGGGAGGAGAGGAAAGAGGGAGAAAGGGAGGAAGGGAGGAAGGGAGGAGAAAGGAGGGAGGAGGGAGGAGGGAGGAGGGAGGAGGAAGGAGAAAGTAGGGAGGTGACAGGAGAAAGGATGGAGGAGGGAGGAGGGAGGAGGAGGGAGACATGAAATCTTCTGCTTCCACCCACTCGAATTCGTTGACAGCAGGTGCAGTTCTCCACGAGGCTCGCAAGGAGCATGAGAGCAGGTTCCCTTGGGTCCTGTTGACTTCCCTTCCCGTCGATTCCCCGAGGCCTCACGTCATGTCCCAAGCGGACGCTTCGGGACACCTCAAGTCAGGCAGCAAGCCTTCTCGAGGAAGGAACGAGTTGGAGCTGAAGGAGGACGGAGATTGCTCCTCCACTCCTGTTGGTGCTCCCTTGCTCGACGAGGAGCTCAAAGCTACCTCAGAGTGTTTGCGGCTTGTTCGTGCTCGTGTGCAGAAGGCTGAGGCCCTGGCAAGGTGAGAAGCTGCTGGTGGGCCTGCGGCTGACAGTCTTGCAAGCTTCTATGCCACTGCTCAAGCTGAAGCTCAGGCCTTTATCGTTGCTGCTCTATGGGAGACGGACCCCCGCAGGTGCAGTGCTGCTCCCCCCTGCCCTCCCTGCACTCGTTGCCAGGCTGATGTCACTCCCTTAGGGTGCGAGCCGCGCTCAAAGAGCTCGAGGCGATCGTGTCGCAGGCCCCCTCCACCTCCCCTTACGCGACTCCGAGACATTCCGACGGGAGGTGAGGCTGAGGGGAGGCGAACGGTGCGAGGTGAAGTGGATGACGGGAAGGGTCAGGGTGCCGGTCAGACCGCATGGAGAGGACGGGAGTGACGACGAGGATGTGGAGCTGTTGCGTGCTGTCGAGATGTTGAGCCATGGGCGCGGGATCGTCCGAGACACAAGGTCAACCTTCCTCTCCTCCTCTTCCTCTCACTCTGTCGAAGCCTCTTCCTCACCGAGCAGCTCGCCAGCTTCGGTTCTCCCGCTCCTTCGCGTCCCGAAGTCGGGTGAATCTGATTCACTTGTCTCCTTCTCTCCCTCCTCACTCTTGTGGTTGCCACTTGCCAGGCACGCAGCAGAAACAGGTCCCCATGCTAGCGAGCATACCCGGCAGGACAGTCGGGCGAGCAACGGCAGACAGGAGACAGCCGAGGGTACATGGCTGAGGTTGCGAAATTTGAAGTGAAGGGAAGGCAGGGAGCATGAGGAAGCCTCGGGTGATCCCCTACCGCATCCCCGCCTCCACTGTCGCTACTGACATCCTGTACCTTAACGATTTTTCAAGTGAGATCAAAGTTCTGACACACGACAGGCCGCCCAAGCCCCCCGACCCCCTTGCATCTCCTGCAGGTCGATTCCATGCTGCTTCTCAACCAAACAAAGCTGGTGATTAACTATCACTCCTCCACTCCCTGACACCCCCCCTTCCCCACCCCCCAACCTTCCTCCTCCTCCTCCTCCTCCTCCTCCTCTTCCTGATCTTCCTCATTCTCCTCCTCCTTCTGATCTTCCTCTATTCCCTTCTCCTTCATCGCCTTCTCACCGCCCTCCGCTTCTTCCGCTCTTCTCGCATCTCCCTGCCTCATCGGACTCACGCGCTCCTTGTTGCAGTTAATGGCTCAAGTTCTCCCATGCGCAAGCAGGTCTCTCCTCTGGTCGCTCGCTACTCGTTGAGCGTTATCGGCAGGTTGACGATCGAGCAACAACAACAGCCAAGGGGAAGAAAACAAACACCGTGACCATGATGTTTTGATAGTGAATGATGCTTGCCAAGATACAGAAGCGAGTAGGGCAGGGGCAAAATGCAGCAGGAGCGGCGGGTTTACACATTATTCTTTGATTTTCTTACAAGTCAATAGGAAAAATACACTGAGATGATTCAACTTCTCAACTTTTTGTGGCCTTCTCCTTACTCCTCCTCCCTCTCCTACCTCACCTCTTCTCCCTCCTCCTCCTTCGCACAACCTCCTCCTCCTCCTCCTCCTCCTCATAACCTCCTCCTCTCATCACTTCATTCATGACGGAGCATCTCAGTGCGGCGGTGGTTGGCTGCTCGCCACGGCCTGTGAAGCACCCATGCTTTCAAGGCGAATCGACTGAATCCCATACTGTCGCAAGCTCGCCGCCAGGTCTTGGGACGTGAGAACAAGCTGCAGGAGAGTTCAGGAGACAATGAGGTAAGAGGGGTGTCAGTGCAGTGAGGGAGGGGGGTAGTGCTGTGACGGAAGGGGAAGAGGTAGTGTCCAAGGGGATAAGGAGGTTAGCGGCGGGCGAGAACAGGAAGACCAGGGGGATGGAGGGGAAAGGCAGGGGAGGAGGAAGCAGGGGTATGATCTGACCCGCTGATCTTTCTTTGTCTTGTCCTTCGACATTCTCATCTTGCACTTGAGCAGCGTCAAAGGCCGTCAACCCCGTCCTCCTCCTCACAAACCTGCTGAAGAGCATCGTGCGCAACGTCTGCTATGAACTTCTGTGCTGCCACAGAGACCAACTTTGTCCTGATGTCACAAAAGCAGGTAAGTCGTAAAACCCTACTTAGTCTCCCCCTCCTTCCTCCCCCTCCCCAGCCCCCCCCGTTTCCTGTCCCTGTTCCTTTCCTCGCCCCTAGTTCTCTTCCCCCCCTCGTTCTCGTTTCTCTCTCCTCAAGATCTTCGAACTTTACTTTCCCCCATCTTGCCAGCATCCTCGTCTTGAAAATCTTCCTCCTTCCTCCTTATCTACTCCACATCAACTGCACATTTCTTCCAACCATCCAACTTGCCCCCCCCCATCCTACTCACAGCCTCGGATCCTTGTTCGTGAACCCGACTTTCTTCAGGTAGAACTCAGTGACTGAGTCTGGGATCGTCGGGTGGAACTTGTCGAGGGTCAGGAGCAGCTGCTCGATCTCCTGGCGTTCTTGGGAGTCCTGCGAGAAGAGGGGAAGAGGAGGAGAGGAGGAGAGGAGGAGAGGAGGAGTGGAGGAGTGAAGTGAGCGATATCAGAGTTTGTAAGACAGGGGAAGAGAGGAGCAAACGATCTTAGAGCTTCACTTCAACTTACCTTCTGAGGTTCCGCTGGTTTATCTGACATTCCTGTAGCGCCAGCAATAGTGAATTTAGAAGATTTTCTCTTCTCTAATACTGCACTGATAGCAAGCATATTCTCTGTTCCATCCTCCCCTCCCAGAAGATGGCTGATCCGCGCAGCTTCTTTTTCAGTGGTTATCTGCATTTTTCGCTCCCTCCCATCATCTCTTCATCAACTCACTTCTCTACTTGTCGACACTGTATCCTTCCCTCTCGTTTCACCTTGTACTCCTATGGTTCATCAGCTGCTCCCTCCCTCTCCCCTCCCTCTCCCCTCCCTCCCCTCCCTCTCCCCTTCCTACCCTTCTCGACTCCCATTCCCTTCCGCTCCTCGTCTCAACTTGCTGCCCCCGATTTCACACTCTCCTGGACTAAATCCCGAATCGATCAAAGTTTCTGCCTTTCTCATCGAGGCGGACTTGGCAACTTGACCCGGCCGCCCGGCCGCCGGGTCCCGGCCCAGCCGGGGTGAAAGGTTGCAGGTGCATCAGTGATGGTTGGAAGTTGTATGCTACATGATTACATTGGCCTCCCCCGGTATCGCTAAACTAGCCCCGATAAGTCCGATCCGATAGAATTCAGGTCGCCATCCTTTGCTGTTGTGCCACTCCCATCCTCCTATTCATCTTCGACTCCGGTTGATGCACAGGGACGTGCTTGAAGGACTCGGGGGTGGGAAACGACGTTCCCTCCCTCAGGCTTCGCTCCACAAGCGCTAGGTAGTGCTGTTGAGGCCCCACGATGCTTCCCGGACGGACGATGCGAAGCCATGAGATGCAGTCGCGTGCTGTCCAGCCATGCACCTCCATGATCCACAGAGAGATCAGTGTCGCGCTCCTCCTGCCGCCGTTGGAGCAGTGGACAGCAACTGTCCCCTCCTCCTTGCACACATTCCAAAAGTCCTCCACGACCTTGACTGAGGGGATGTACTCGTCCTCGAAGGGCAGGTGGACATGACGGATGCCCTCGTCCTCGAACTCGTTGGGATCGTACTTGAGCTTGTCCCCGAGCGCCACCACAACCGTCACGTCGAACCGCTTGAACAGGTTGCAGTAGTCCCGCACCACTAGCGTCTCGTGCGCCTCGTCCGGGGCCTTGAGGAGGAGAAACTTGTCGCAGGGCTGGTGGAGGAAGAAATTCTGCGGGTTGCCCAGCCAGATGTACTTGTGCACGTCAAAGTTTGCGTAGTGGAACCACCTGAGCTTGGTTGCCTTCACAAGCCCTCGCAGGCAGTCTAGCAGAGAGATGAAGTAAGAGGCGGGAAGCGAGGAGGAGTCTCTGTACATGACAAAGAGCCGGTTGCCCATGGCGGCGAAGGTGCGGGAAGTTCGTTCGGGGCTCCAGTCCTCGAACATCATGAGGTAGCAGCTGAGCAGGAAGATGGCGTTGGTGCGGAAGGGGACCTCTTTCTCTGCGTAGAAGACCAGGTGACGGTCCAGCAGCCGTGGGTCTCCGAGCTTCGACTGCATGTACTCGCAGAAGTTGTAGATGGTCGCGAGGTCGACAGGTCCGACCTCTGTGCCCAGTTGCTGGTAGGACTCGTGCAGGGTGCTGGAGAAGTAGTAGTACTGGCGGTTCCTAATGATTTCCTGCCGTGTCTGACCCTCATTGAGGTGGACGGTGAAGGAAAGCCGGTGGGGGATCAGCTCGTAGATCTTTCCGTACTCGAAGTCGGAGGAAGCACGGTTAAAGGTGGACGCTGAGGAGGAGGCAGCGGCCGACCCTTTTCTACTCTCGCCCTTGTCCTCGCGATTGGCGGTGAATTTGAGCCTGCTGATGTTGGACTTTCTCTTCTCCGCACTCTGCATAAGCATCTTCATGACTCCATGGTTCCCCGTCAGGTTGTCTTGTATCGCATTGAGGAAGTCGACGGCACTGAGCATCCAGCAGTCGCACTTCTCCACCGCTACGACATCGCAGAACCTCAACGTGTTCGCGTCTGACTCGTCAGGCAATTTTCCCTTTTCGTCCATCAGCTTGCGGCAGGTTGTGATGAAGCTCATCTCCCCGAAGAAGTCGCCACTCTCCAGCACCTGCGCAATCCGCCCTTGCAGCACCGCCTTCGCTTCCCCATTCTCGATGAAGTAGAGGCTGTCGCCAAAGGTTCCTTTCCTGATGATTACCTCGTCCTTCTCAAACACGTGCAGTGTCATCTTCGAGAAGCACGCGTACTTGCTTCTTTCTGACATGCTCTCAAAAAGCTCGCAGCTTGCCTTGCTCCTGACGTAACTTTGCATGATCCCAAAGTGAACCTGCGGGTTCTCTTTATGCTCAGCCTGCGAGTTGAGCATCGTCGCCTCGAGTACTTTTCCGGCTCTGATTTCACTGTTGGCCCTCCGAAGCATTCGCTTGCGGTTGACAGAGCCGTCACCGTCATGCTTGTAACTATCAGTTTCGTTGATGCCATTCCCGTCCTCCGAACACGGCGCCATCCTTGTTTCATGCTTCCCTTGCAGACTGCTGGGGTCGGATCGAATTTCAGTCGCAAACTTAAGGCTCCCAGGAACGCCGATGGCTCCCTCGGGCCCGTCAATCTTTCGCTTCTCTGCAGCTTCCCGCAAGTATCTGCCATTACGTGAGGGTAACAGACCTCTCCGAGGCTGGCGCACCTGACCACGGCGTTGAGACCAGGAGGATCATCGCGCAGGATCGCAAGGAAGTCCTTCACCGTGAGCTCAAGGCACCTGCACGGCTCGACTGCTTGGATCGTGGCATACCGCTGCACTTTCATGGCGTGCTTCATCATCATTTCGCTGTCCATTCGCGATTGGCTCTCCTCGATGAAGATTTCGATACTCGCTATGAAGCAAAACTCGCCGAAGAAATCACCTGCGTTCAGCTTCGCTTTGACCTTACCATTCTTAAACACCGTCGCTTCTCCGACATCCAAGAAATACTGCGAAAGAATCAGCCACTCGCGTCGACCCGTCGCAAGCAGACCATAGACGTGCCGATGGTTGCCTCCTCGATGATGACCTCTCCCTTCTGGAAGCTCTTCACCTTCATACGGGAGATGCACTCGTCGCGACATCGGGCAGACATGGAGTCGAGGAGCTGGGAGGTAGCTTTGCTGCATACCTCCTCGCTTTGGAAGCAGAGGGAAGGAGAGATTTGCGGGCAAGAGATGAGCCTCGATCGGCTTCGAGCACTAGGCGACAGCGATCTCGGCCTGTTGTCATGGTGGTCATGAGAGGTGGGCGTAGTTCCTGAGCTTTGAGTCCTATAGTCTTGACCCCAGTGCATCTTGATAGAGAGCGAGGGGATCAAGCAGATCAATCCAGCAGCTTTCACTTGCCAACTTGTCCACTCGATCTGGTTCCCAGCGTAGACAGCGTCATCGCAAACCTGCGAAGGTGCGGAGATAAGCAAGATTAAAAGCTAGATTGCACGAAAGGCATTGAGTTAATCTGAATATCATTCCACCTATTCTAATCTATCCTTTGATACGGGGAGAAACGAGGAGGAAGGGAAAGATGTACGTGGAGGCATGAACGCCTTGGCGGGGACAGAAGTGTATCGTTCCAGACTACACCTTCAATCTATCTATCGCACCATTATTCCTTCTTCAGCCAAAATCTCTGTAAAATCTGAATCGTAAACCCCATGGTGCTCAACATGTCTTGCCTGGCTTGCCATATCTCCCATACCCACTCTCTCCGTCCCTCTCCTGTTGTCTTCTCTTTCCTGTTCTCACTTCCTTCCTCTTCATCTCTTTCTTAATAATTTGTCTCTTGTTGTTCCTCTCCTGCATTTTTCATCGCTTCTCCTCCCCATCTTCGCTCACATCGCTCCTCCATCTTCTGCATGTTGAGAACGAACCAAACCAAAGGCGATATGAAATCAAGATCCTCGAAGGGTGGGGTAGTCGATATTGAACCAGGGGGTACTGAATTCCAACAGGGCAAGGGGGTAGGGTACTTTTGAAAGGAGTATATCCTTTTAATGGGGGTGGAATACAGTCAAAACTCCATAGTCCCTGGGGGTACAATCATTGAGGGGTACTCGATATTAGTGGGTAGGGTCAGAGTTCAGAGTGTGTGTAAATGGGTGGGGTTATTCAACGCGTCCGAAGTTGGGTGGGGTCAATAAAACCAGGTTCATTTATACCACCCCATCCACTTGATGTAAATTGAGTACCCCCTCTTTAATTATCTATAACAGGGGTACAATAGAAGGATATCCCTCCATGAGTAGGTAGGGTCATGAAACACACCGGTCCTCGACAGTGACCAATTTACTTAACATATCACTCAACTATATTGACTATTGTATTTCTTTACTATCTCATGGGGATCAAAACTTCGTCAAGAACCGAAAAGAACTCTTTTCAATATGTGCACTTTAGGGGATTTGGCACCCTCATCCCCCCACTGCTCCGCTCTTATTGAATCCTGCATTGATGCAGCATTGATGCCAGTGCTGGCATTCATGTGAATCCCCTTGCCAGCCCGCTCAGCAGACCCAGCAGCAGATCCAGCAGCAGACCCAGCAGCAGACCCAGCAGCAGATCCAGCAGCAGTTGCTAGCCCAGTTTCAGCCAAGTTCTGCCCAGTTCCCTCTTGCTCTTGCTCTTGCTCTTGCTCTTGCTCCTGCACTGATCAGTTGATTCCTGCTGTTCTGCCTGCTTATGCAGACCCTGTTCCTGACCTCTTTTCCGTCCTGCCCTGTGCTCTCATTACCTGTCTCGCTGTCCTCTCCTACAAGGCTGCCAACTAATCCTGCATGCAGTCCTCTAGCCTCTCAGTGCTCTTGCACTGCCTTCGGGAGTGTCAGGTGGTCTGAAAGATCCTCTCGCTCGTTGTCTAGCTTCTGCCTTTTCACCTAGCTCCTCTCGCTCGTTGTCTAGCTTCTGCCTCTTCACCTAGCTTGCTCTAGCGCAGCCTGCGGTACTCCTGCTTTCCTGTCTGCTCACAGTCCTCCTCATCTGAGCCCTCTTCTTCCTCTTCTTCCTCCTGCAATCACTTTCACCCTCAAGAGCATCAAGCCTGCCGTGCGACTCCCACTCTACACTCCTGTCCTGTTAGCTTCCAGTGCCTCACTCCTGCTTCAGCCTCGTCCTGAGAAACACACGCAATTTCACCAGCTGAGCAAAGCAACATGAGGGGCTCGATGAAGCTTTTGCTTCTCAGCGTTGTCCTGGTAGCATGCCCCGTTGAAAGTTGGCTCGGCAGAGGAGAGGCGTCGACCATGTTCGTTCCACACTTCGCGCTCAAGAGCCCGGGAAGCAAGCGAGTGCGACATTGCTCGCGGTATCCAGGAGTTTCGAATCGTGCAGCTTGCATATGCATGAAGGAGCGGATCCTGATAGTTGGTGGAACAGGTAAGTGTGCTTGCCCCCTCTTGATCTCATTGGGCACTGAGTGATGGAGGGCAGGAAGGATAGGGACGGCTGTGGCGTCTCACCTCATCAAGAGAGCTCAAGGCAGTCAGACAGACATCGTCCTCGCTGGTAGAGACTCGAGGAAAGGAGAGGCTGCGGTGCGTGAGGTAATGGCGGACATTGGCCGGAGTGAAACTTTTGAACCTTGCGTCTCCTTCCAACGGCTGGACTGGCGCGACGAGATCGAACTGAACAACGTGATGCAACGCGGCTGGACGTCTGTCATCAACACGGCTGGTTGTTCTTCCTGATACCTTCGAAATCCTCATGATTTGCCTCTAGGGCCCTTTCTTGGGATCCGCCCGAGCATCCTGCAAGCTGCGATCAAGCATAAGATCCCCTCCTACGTCGATGTTGCCGATCCCACGAGCTACCTTGCGGACGCTCTTGCGCTAGATGATGCGGCTCGTTCAGCTGGCACCTGCGCGGTAGTTGCAGGAGGTGCGTTTCCTGGTCTGTCAAACTTGATTGCAATGGAAGCTGTGGAGCAGCTGCAGCTGGAAGAGAGTGGAGGACGAGTGCAGGACCTGAACTTCGACTACTTCACCGCAGGGCTGGGAGGGAGCGGAGAGGTCAATCTTTTGATCACCAACCTTGGCTTTGGAGAGGAGGTCGAGGTCTTTCAGCAAGGCGTTCTCAGCCCCATTCTCAGAGCTGGGTTGGACCAGAAGCAGGTAGACTTCTTCTTTGACGAGGAGGACGCGAGCAAGGCCAAGATTGGGACGGTGAACACTTGGTTGTGGCCCTTCCCCGAGGGGAGGACTGTAGCCGAACAGGTGGAGGTAGCAGGAGGCTCGCGGGTAGCGATGGGAACCGCCCCTGATATATGGAATGTTGTGATGAACCTGCTGGTCCGCCTAATCCCCCGATCTTGGTGGAAGCAGGAGAATTTCTCGCAAGCCCTTGCGACCTTCTCGAAGCCCCTCGTTGCCTTCACGGACATGTTCGTCGGAGAGACTCACGGGATCAGGGTCGAGGTATTTGCATGCATTTCAATCCTTCACTTGTTTTCAGGAGTTACAACTAGAGAAGCGGAATTTGATTCTAAATGTTTAACAGGCGACGAGCACAAGCGGGAAGACAATCGTCTGCATTCAAGCGCACGAGAGTTTTCGAACGTGTGTGGTAAGTGAACGTCAGGAGCTGAGGAGTCCAGCTGACACTCAGCAGGGTCAATCATGCGCTGAGTTTCTTCTGCACCTCAACAGGAGGAGGAGGGAGGACCCGCAGCATCAAGACGGAGTGTGAGAGCTTTCGAGCTTCCGCGTTACCTTGTTGACCGCTCGCAGGTTTCTCCCCGAGCGATTGTGCCAGAGCTCGCAGGAGCGAAAGAGCTTGCTGAAGGCGATGACGTCGACGCCGGGAACTTTGACGTACCGTTACAAACAGACGGCCTGACCTCCCTAGCCTGCCTGCCTGCTCGCGCACGTGGGGAACGCGAGGCCCTGCAGCTCCACGTCATCGCCATGAGCAGCCGCACAGTCCGGTAGCCAGTGAGCGAATTTCTCGGAGTTGGCGAGGACGTAGCGAGGAAGACCATAGCAGGATGGATTGAGGTTGAGACCCCCGTGCCTCTCGTCCTTCTTCCTGTTCCCCATCCTGTCAGAGTTGAAGTAGTCAAGGCCGCTGTTGATCGCCTCCTCGATCCTCTCAGCGTCGAGCCACTCGGCCGTGTTGAGCTCCTGGTGCGTAAAGGCCTTCACTTTCTCCATCACTCCGCTCACATTCGAGAAGAAGCTGCAGTGCCATGCACCGCTCTCGATCGCCGTGTGCTCCCTCCCCATCCTCCCCATCCTCACCTGCTGCAGACTCACCCCCTTTCCGTCCCCGAAGTCCACTTGTGCAGCCCGAACGACCTGAGGATGCTTCCACTGGCCCTGGAACTCCCACTGGAACTTGAAGTTGAAGAAGCGCGAGTACAGCCATGCAGGGCTGGAGGGCCCGTCGCATCTCCTCAGGAGGTCGAGCACGTAGGGGACGGGGATCTCGTCGACATCGGCGATGACGATCAGGTCGGTAGGATGGATGCCGTGCATCCCTCGCGTCATGGCGTTCCTCTGGAAGTTCTCCAGCACCCATGGGTCCTTGTCGTTGGGAAGGTCGTCAACGATGACGTGGCGAATCTTGTGGAGGAACTGGCGGTACCTGTGCTTGTTCTCCTGGAAGAAGAGTTTCTTGGGCATGTTCGAGTGAGTCCTTGTGGCCTCAACAAGCACAAACATGTGCACAACATCGTTCAGCTCGTTGAGCCGCACCTCCAGCATGTCTAGCTCGTTGAAGAGCTGGAAGGCATCCCATATTCTGCGGGTTCGCTGTCTCTCACGCCATCCGACGTCCTCGCAGCTGTCGCTAGGGTCCAGCTGCTTCCATTCCACCTGCTCGTTGACAAGGAGCCACCCATCGACGACCTCCGCACGGGCAAGTTCCTCCTGGCTGAGGAAGGGGTTGTACTTCTCTACATCCTCAAGCTCCCAACTCTCAGGATCTCCGTACTCTCCTCCTCCGCTCTCAAGCCTGACCATCAACCTGGGTCCTTCTGCTGTCACCTGTCCCTCCTCATCAACGACATCCAGTGTGAGCAAGTGCTCCTCCTGCGACAACTCGGGGATTTGCACCATGAAGACCATGTTCCCGTCATGTTCATGAGCAAAGTAATCCACCAGCAGACCGTCGACGCCCAGCACTGATCGGCATGGCTCCCTCGCTCCAAACTCTATGATGAGCGACCCAGAGATGGCAGAAGCATTGGCGGGAGAGATCCAGAAGAGAGGAGAGGACAAGGGTTGTGCCGCGATTTCATGCTGTCCGCTGCAAGGACAGATGCGCAGCAAGAGCACGGCAACGATTGAGATCAAAGACGAGAAGGATAAGTCGAAGAGAAATGAGAGAAAGGAGGAGGAGCGGTAGGAGGAGCGGGAGCGGGAGGGGGAGGGGGAGCGGGAGGGGGAGCGGGAGGGGGAGCGGGAGGGAGAGGAGCGAAAGCGAGAGAAGGTGAAGTGCGAGGAGCAGGAGTGTGATGAGGGTAAGTGGAAGGACAGGGAGGAGGAGAGGTGGCGAGAGGGAGGGGGGCGGGAGGAGGAGGGGGGAGGCGAGGAAGAAGCAGGCGCCGTAACGACTTCAGACGCCATGCTGCCTCATACAGCCCGCCTCAGTCGCCCGTCTTATCTACACCGGTTGATGACACCCCCGGCCTTTTCGATCCTAATTGGTACTGGGGTACCAATGGTCCCCTGCCCCTTCCACAATTCTTCTTCCTTGCCTTCCCCCCCCCCTCCCCCCCCTCCCTACCTT